CTATATCAACTTTATCTGATTAAATTTTGAGTTAGTGCTAAGGAGGTTAGCCACATTTCTTACAACTGTGAAACTGCCTTAATAATATTATTTTTTTATCAACAACAAACTAAAAAATTAATAAATAAATAAAAATGTATTTTTGTCCATGGCAGTAATATAGATAATACATGCAACCTATGTTCAGGATTGGCTTTTAGGCTATATTGCCCACTCCTACTTAGTTGTAAAACTGAACATTTAAATTTAAACCTAATTTTATTCAAGGGTGTGAATCATGTAGGCCTTTAACCTTTAGCCTGTCTGGTACAAAGAATACTTACAGACCAAACTGTGTTACACCAAAACGTTTTTTATAGGGTGTGTTCAAATCCGGCAGCTGCATCCTCAGACGGTACCTGGCCCATCTGGACTGAGTGTCTTGTAAGCTGTGAAAATGAGGAGGCTGGAAGAGTTTGGCTATAGATTCGAAAAGGTCTAATTGTCACTGCCCCTCACTAAGCTCTGTCGCCTAGCAACCAAAACAGTTGTTACACAAAGCAGGCAAAGAATAGATGCTAATTTACTTTTTGAGGAGCTGCAGCTGTACCACCGTCAAAGATATCAGATTTGTAGTTCACACAATGCCCACATTTTGGAATCCATGCTTCAATGCCAGCCAAACATAGTTGCACAGGGACAGATAACTTTTCAATAAACCAAACATTACCCGCAACATATCTGACTTACTAACCATATAAATGAACTGTTTTCACTAAATAAATGCAAAGTTATTCACATACTTGTATTATATTAACCTATACATACAATTTTCACTACTACTCGTCACCATTTCCCCTTTTCCTCTAAGCACAGAGTAGCTGGCTTGCTCAAATAATCACGAATAATACGTACCTGTCCTTAAAGAGGGGCAAAAAAAGGCTGCATTTGTCAGTCGCATATGAAGGAGTCTTCAGATTCAAACAGGCCCCAGCGCTGTGCTCTGACATAATTGGCTGACTAATCTGGGCTTCAGAGGAAGCAGCTGCCGGATTCAAACACAGAGATAGACAACCCAGCTGAATACATACAGTGCCTTGTGAAAGTATTCAGCCCACTTGAACTTTTTGACCTTTTGGTGGCCTCAAACATAAAGATGTAAAATTATAATTCTTTGTGAAGAATCAACAAAAAGTAGGACACAACCATAAAGTGGAAAATCTTTTCTTTGGCTATTTTAAACCTTTTTTAGCAAATAAAAAACAAAAAAAATTGGTTGTGCAAAACCATTCAGCCCCCTTGAGTGAATACTTTTTAGCGGCACCTTTTCCTGCAATAACAGCTGCAAGTCACTTGAGGTATGTCTATCAGTTTTGCCCATCGAGAAACTAAAATTTTTGCCAGTTCTTCCTTACAAAACAGCTCCAGCTTAGTGAGGTTGGATGGAGAGCATTAGTGAACAGCAGTCTTAAGTTCTTTCCACAAATTCTCGATTGGATTCAGGTCTGGACATTGACTTGGCCATTATAACACCTGGATATGTGTATTTGCAAACCATTCAATTGCAGATTTTGCTTAATGTTTTGGATCATTGTCTTGTTGGAAGATAAATCTACGTCCCACTCTCAGGTTTTTCAGCCTCCGACACGTTGTCTTCCAGAAATCCTGTATTTGGCTGCATCCATCTTGCTATCAATTCGAACCATCTTCCCTGTCCCTGCTAAAGAAAAACAGGCCCAAACTATGATGCTGCCACCACCATGCTTGACAGTGGAGATGGTGTGTTCATTGTGATGAACTGTGTTGCTTTTACGCCAAACATAACATTGTGCATTGTTGCCAGAAAGTTTGATTTTGGTTTCATCTGACCAGACCCTGTTCTTCCACATTTGCTGGCTTTCTCCCATAAAGGCCAGATTTGTGCAGTGTACAACTGATTGTTGTCCTATAGACAGTCTCCCACCTCAGCTGTAGATCTCTGCAGTTCATCCAAAGTGTTCATGGGCATCATGGCTACATCTCTGATCAGTCTTCTCCTAGTTTGAGCTGAGAGCTAAGTGGGGCTGGGTCTTTGTAGATCGCTGTGGTCTAATACTCATTCCATTTCAATATCATTGCTTGTTCAATACTCCTTGGGATGTTTAAAGCTTGGAAAATTTTTTCGTACCAAATCCAGCTTTAACTTCTCCATAACAGTATCTCTGACCTGCCTGGTGTGTTCCTTGTTCTTCATACTGCTCTCTGCCCTTTAAACAGACCTCTGAGACTATCACAGAGCAGGTGCAGTTATACAGAGACTTGATTACACACAGGTGTATTTTTTATCATCATCAATCATTTAGGTCAACATTGATCATTCAGAGATCATCACTGAACTTTTGGATAGAGTTTGCCTCACTGAAAGTAAAGGGGCCGATCATTTTGCACACCCATCCTTCAGTTTTTTATTTAATAAAAAAGTTTCAAATATCCATTAAATGTCTTTCCATTTCATGATCATGTCTCACCTGTTGTTGATTCTTCTCGTGTCTTTATGTTTGAAGCCTGAAATGTGGCAAGTGGTCAAAGAGTTAAAGGGGGCCCGAATCCATTGCCAGACACTGTTAGTGCAACAACATAACAGTTACAGGACAATATGATAGTAGGATCAACACACACACATATAGCAAAGACTCAACCAAAAGAAAAAAACATTTCTAAGAAGTTGCTCAGAGTTATTTTCTTTAATATTTTGTTGTCTTGATATCTTTCAAAATGAATAATGTTCTGACTTCTCACATATGGATAATTTAAGTTTGAAGCAGTGATTTAATGTAATAGCAGAATTCTAATAAACAACCGTAAATCCCTGCATCAAGTAAAGGTGGATGTTTTGGGATAAAGTCTAAGTAATTAATTTCATTTTCTAATATATTTTTGAATTTCCTGTGGAAAATGATTGCAGACACATCCGGCCTTAAATAAAAGACGGCATACATGTGCTGTCGTTGGGAATGGAGGGATCTTGACAAACAGCAGCTGTGGAAAAATGATTGATTCAGCTCAGTTTGTGATCAGGTAAAAACAATCTCAACAGTATTGTGCATCTTGGATACTAAAACATAAGCAAATTCCAAAAATGTTTCATGTTGTCTTTTCAGGTGTAACTTAGCACCTTTGTTAAATGGATACGAGAAACATGTCGGTGTTAAAACGGATATTGTGACGGCAAACCCCAGTATCATTTCCCATTGGTGAGCAAACAGATATAAATTTTTATTTTTTTTTTTATTCAGTTGAATTTCTCCAAACTCCCAGTTCACAGTTGGTTTGTTATTGCAGGCATGACTCTCTTTTAAGAAGTCGGCGTGTCTTTGTTGAGAGACTGTGCCAGTATGGCAACTCCAAGTTGTTCCTTCCTGCATTCTCCTTTGTTGGTCACACAGAATTGTGTATGCGGGCCTTCTATACCATTGAGGACTTTGAATTGCCCATCCAGCCTGTTTTCTTTAATCCAAACTACATTGATAGTCTAAATGTGTTTTGGAAATCTTTTAAATTGAAGGAACAACGTATCACCACTGGTCTCATTATGACAAGTCTGGCACTGGAGCTATGTGACAGTGTTCATCTGTATGGATTCTGGCCCTATAGTGTTCATCCCCACAGCTTCCAAGATCTGACTGCGCACTATTATGACGATTTGAAACCTACAAATAGGCACCTTATTCCAGAAGAGTTTAATCTTTTATTGCAGTTGCACAGCCAAGGTGTACTAAAACTTCACCTTGGGGAGTGCAAGCCCAACAAATAAATTACCTGGACAACTGCGGTCTGGAAAAGACTTTAATTCAAGAATACATTATATTATTAGGGTTTCAGCTCTACGCTTCTCATTACACCATGTTCATGTTTCTTAACCACAATTACTATTTCACCAGAATCAGAACTACTTTATAATCCCTTGCAGGAAATTCTCTACGATATCACCGGGAGCTGAACAGCAAAAACTTGAACTATCCTCATGATAAAGTGAAGTTTTAGTTGAATAAATACCATAAGATAAAGGTTTAAAAACACATGAATGTAATAAAAGAAGTAAAATGTTTACAACACAATTTTACCCATGTGTATTTATAACCAAAAGTTATTATTTTATGCACATAATTTTTGCATTTTGTGACCTCTCTAAGTCTGTTTTTCATGTATTTATATCAGTTTCTGGTCTATATACAAAAAAACGAACAGATGTCTTCAAGTAGAAAAGAATGAGAAAAAACAAATGAGTCTGCAGAACAGCAGGTAAACTCTTCAAATGGTCATCAAGATCTCTGGTCAAAACCATCTCTGCCTCTTAACATATTTAGTTGATTATTGTATACATGTACAGTTATGTATGGGACATTATACTCAATGCCTGCTTCCCTCTGAAAAAAATAAAATAAAATATTTTAGGCATGCATATTGTGAATATATACTAAAATCCTACAATAGTCCAATTAAAGACAAAATTGGGTTTAAGTAAATGTAAATACCTTTTTGTCCCACAATTAGGAAATTTGATAGATTGATTGATTGATTGATTGATTGATTGATTGATTGATTGATTGATCTCACAGTGGAGAAATTCAATTGCTACATCAGCTCAAATATTCAAAGGAGAAGAATGTGCAAACGGAAGAAAAAGGTGCATGAGATATATAAATTATGTACAGTGCATCCATTTATGACAGCTTTTTTTTTTTATTAGGTATTTATATAGATGGATATTTATATTATATATATAGTTATTGCACTGGGTGTCAAATATAGAGAAACAGATTATTGCACAGCGTATTAAATAGTAATTAAACATTATACATTGCACAAGTTATTGATATTGTAGTGTTGCATTGTCGAGTCATCATCTCTGATCGGTTAAAAATGATCTAAAATAGTCACTACTAAAAATAGTCACTACTGAAACATGTGGTGATGTTTTGTTGGTGAAGTGGATTTTTCTGTATTGGGAAAATGAAAAGTCCTTCCTCTATTTACTTGCCTTTACCTTTTACTACTGATAAGGGACAGCTCTATATTTTTAAGTTCCCAAACAGAACAGCCATCACAGAATGTGGAAAGAAATATTTGCTGAAATAGAAAAAAAAAAAAAAAATGTGTAGGGTTATAATTGCAGACCATACTTTTAAGTCAACAAGTTTACTATTGGTCATGTTCAGACTAACATTTATTTTGCTGGTATGTTCAAATTACTAACTTCCTAAAATGTGTCACAATTAAAACAGTGAAAAAAAATCCACAAAAAAAACACAGAAATAGTCAAAACTTTTCTTATGTTAGTTAATAGTTGGATATCAGCAGACGGCTATTTCACAAAAATAAATAGAAGGATTAGGTTGGGATTTTCTGGATATTTTGGCTTCATTTAGCTTGATTCAACAAAAGTAGAGACCAATAAGTTACCTGCTCCAGATCAGACTAACAGCCAAGTTTAGATAATCCTGGTGCTTTAGAAGAATAACTAAAACAAGGAGCGATTCTACAGTAGGCGAAACATCATTAGGAAACTTTGTAATAGTTGAACTACTTGTTTTATTTTCATGATTCAGGATTTCCTTATGATGTTGGTGCTCTGGACTGCACACACAATAAGATATAATGCCCTTCTGGAGCATATGAAGATAATTATGTTAGCAGAAAATTCCAACATTCAAAGTAAAAATCTTAACACATTTTATTGCTTTAGATGATCTGTGATGCATCTTCAGGAACACGGGGCCAAAGTGGTCTGGCTCAGTCCATGAGTCCAGAGTCTGTCTCTCTTTGACTCTTCTAAATGAGGCCTCCTTTTGTTTTGATGAAGAGCCAGATTTCTAAAAAGCATGAATTCTGGGAAAGGTGGGCCGCTTCCTGCACCAGATATTTCATCCCTTTTTAACCCCTAAAATTAGAAAGAGGATCAAATATGTGTTAAGGCACCCAGTAAGTTATACTAGATACGTACTGTACATTATAGTCAACATTTTATAAAGATACTTTCAGTCTCCAAAACGTTCTTATGTTTTGTTTTAAACTGCTGCGGGTCTTCTTTGGTCCGGTTATATTAGTTTTTTTTAATGAATATGTAAATAATGTGTAGCGAAAGAAAAAGGCTAAATTATACACAGAGGGACTGAAATAAAGTAGTAAATGTAATGTGAAATGATCAACTTTACGCTAACTATCTCTAGCTTCAACTATTAATTTTAAAGTTATTTATTAATTGTTTTAGAAAAAAACAACATATAACTCCCTCTTGACATCGTGGTCACAGTCGAAACAGTATTGTGGAAAAATGGAATGTATTGGGAAAATAAAGAATATAGAATCATAAACTTAGATATTCTGATGGTGTTTGGATCAACATTTATTGACACTAATGAATCCTCAAGTTTTTAATTATCATTTTCAATCAATCAATTATCAATTTTCATTGTTCCCTTTTCATTGTTTTTCTATTAATTTTGGTTGTGTACAGCTGCAGAGCTTTGCTGCAATAGAGGCGGCAGTAACCGATAAAGGTGAATGTGTTATCTTCATACCCTAAGAGTGTCACAAAATAAGTTTTAAGATGTTTTGAAGCAAGAAAGTTTGCCCAAAACCTGTCAGTTTATCAACAAATGGCAAGATACACTAACTTTTAAATCTGTCGTTTTGTTTTTCCGTCCATAGTGTTACGTAATAGTGCTTTTTGCAGGGAGCCAGTTCTTG